TCTCAGCCACTCAAGTTGATGATTTTGGAAATGTGGTTAAGAGATGCTCAGCATGAGCTGTAAATCCAAGAATTTGACTAGAATGAGTTGTTCCCAGTCTTTGGTTTTTCAGATATTTTGGACTTCAGCTCCCACAATCCCACATGCCTGATAATTCTGACAAACTTATAAGAGTTGAAGTACAAAACAGGTGGCGGTTCAAAGGTTGGGAAACCCTGGAATAAAACCATGGCAGTTAAAATGGAATAGTAGTCCTGTGATCACATAGAATGGAAGAGCCTTATATGCGCAAAGCAAAAGCTCACGTCCATGTGCTTTTCAGTTTAACAAAGCCTTTACAAAGACATTTGTTTTTCCAAAGTCTTTTTTACTTCTTTTGGCCCACAAACTCTCCTTGGCCTCTATGTACAAGTGGCTTTGGCGCTGAGATGGTGGAGGGCACCTGTAAAAGCACAAACTTCTGGTGCTGGGTTTCAGCAGTGTGTCCGCAGTAAACACAGCATGACAAAACCTGCATTGAGAAAGACTGGGATTCTACTTCAGTTAATCCTACTGTACCAGAATTTCCTTGCATGCAATGTACAAGGTCGATAACAACTGGTTGCATTTGGTTTCATTGAGCATATTGCGTTTTGGATAGGGTTCTTCCCTAAAGAGAGGACTAAATACCTGCTTTCAGTTGTCAACTCTTCCGTTTGCTAGAAAAACAATAATTTTGATTTTTTTAATCTTGTGCACTAGTTATTGTCTCTCCTTTTTGTCCTTTGTATGTGGGTTGTGGCTGTGTGCATACCTGAAGATTAGTCACCCAAGAGCATGATGTATGATAATTGTTGTCTTACTAATTGAATCTAAATGCCATGTTTAGGTACAGTGTACCCACATATGACCAAGTACATGTCAGAGAGTTAGATATGAGGCTATCAGCTTCATCCTTTCACATTTCAATCAGATTTATACATTCCATCAGAAATTATAATTTAAGAGGAAAAATGTAAACAAATAGAATATGCTAAAATCAAATAAAACTGTTAGTATACTTTTATAAAATAAAAAGATCCTAACTATTACAACTATGCGCATGCAATAAGATGAGAAATACAAGGGTTATTTTTTAAGTAAGGTCCTTTGGAAGATAAGTACACAATGAAAGTTTGTTTCAAAAAAGTATGTTTATTTTCAGAAAGTACATACTTCACTCTATTTTTCGACATAGTTGCCAAGTTTGTTCAAACACTTATCATACCTCTGAACCAATTTTAAAATACCCTCTTCATAAAAACTTGCTGCCACCAAAAGCCACCAAATAGTCTGTAATCAAAGAAGGGCGACCGGAGCAGTCCTCATCATGGACGTTGTCACGGCCATCTTTGAATTGTTGTACCCACTTACGCACTTTGCTTTCACTACAACAGTATCACCGTACACTTCACAAATCTGTCGATGAATGTCTGTAGCAGGCAGGTTCCTTACTGACAAAAACCGTATCACTGAGCGAACCTCACATGCGGAGGGTGAGTTGATAGTCTTAAACATTTTTAAAGCACAGAACAGAACTGTACAGGTTACCTACGGAGCGGAAACTAAGCACAGTTGTTCCCGAGGCATGCCGGTACACAACGCACGCACTCGTTGCGGTTTGCGCACGAACTACTAGTGTCTACAACAAAACGGACCTTACTTTAAAAATACCCCTCATAGTTTAGCTTTTACAAATGTCATTCTGTAGTCAATCCAAATAATGATTATTAAAATGAAGACCAACCCCACAAACACCAACATTGTAAAATGATAAGTATCAGTTGCAGATGAAAGTGAGGAGAGGATCAGAAAAAAAGAATAAGATAAAGAAAAAAGCAAGATTCAATTAGTAATTTTAATGCTAGCATAGGGGAAGGAATATGAAATATTTGAGGCAAATGTGTGTTGTAGTTTGGTATGAAAGAACTTTTGCATAGTTCTTTATTTCCCCAGATTATTCACACCCCATGATCCAAGATGTTGTAGAACATTTTAAAAACAATACAGTTTAAAAAACTGTTAGTATAAAAGTTAAAACTATTCTTAAAATACCAGTTAAAAACAGTAATTAAAAAGCTTAAACTGTACTGCCTCCCTAAAAGCATTATCAACCATGTGCACTAAAAACCAAAAGCTTCCGTAAATAGAGTCCATCAGTCTGTAACACTTGGTAGAAAGATAGCAGGAAAGTTATATTACCACAGAAACTTGTCTCTGGTCCGGTACCTGTCTAGACCATTTGAGAGATAGTGAGGAGTGAACAAAGTATATTGTTACAGATGACTATATGAGGCGAAAGAAATGGAAGAACGTCATGGCTGGAATATTAGCAGTACAGATGTATGACAATACCTATTTTGAATGGCCACAATTAAAGACAGTTCATATTATCCTCATATTGCAATGGAGGGCCCAGTAAATCCACTTATGGTCCTCATGGCACAGTGACCGTAGGGATTCCAGGTATGTTGTTTAGCAGCATATTTATACTTTCAAGTGAACTATCAGGACATTGTCATCCCTGCTGTTTGAAGACTTCCGCATCTAAAGACTAATTAGACTAAGTGTAAATAGAAATAAATGTTATCCTAGTAATTGCTTCTCTATATCTGTTTTAGCAGATATTTTAAATGTATGTAGCACACCATATGAAACTGAAGTTCTACATCAGTATCCATTCTTGTTCGTTCTGTACTAAGTAAAATGTCACTAAGCAAGAAAAAAAAAAGCATGAGCCTTCATTTGGCTCTTAAACTGAGCTCATACCCTCATTTTTCAGTGTAAGTCATCATTTATGATGAGATCATTATTTATAAAAGACACTCCTTTATAAGTGTGTATCAAAGTACAAAAAATGCAGCTTTATGATACAGGAAGCTTGAAATATTTAACAATACAAGTCCAGCAAGCTTAACAAGTTTTGCCTTGTGAGATCACATGGTTTACACAGCAATTATATGTATGTGAAGTATGTTTGAAATGGATGTCCTCTTCATATTTCAAAAGTTGTCTTCATAATTCTTATCAGGATGAACAGCAAGGTTCAGATTTAAAGTTCCCAACTTATTTTACAAGTGAAAATTAAGGACAGAATCCAGTGGTGTATTTCCAGTGGCAGAATCCATGGGATTTAGAATAATTCTCTTTTTTCCCAGTTTAGCCCCTCTCTGTGTTCCCAAAACGGACTCAAGGACTGGGAGAACTTACAGGACTGGTTTGGGTGGCAAGGAGGGCTACAGCATGGAAGAACAGGAAGAAAATAGAGACCTTTGCAAGGGATTAGTTCAGTCCAGAGGATACAAGTTTTAATTGATCAGAGGAATTTAAGAGAGACCAAATGACAAATATTTGACTGGACTGCCAGATAAAAACTTGCAGTCTAACTGGTTTCTGTGTTCTCCTCAAAAGCTGGCAGTATCTGGAATTTCAAATTTGTCATTGAGTATAAAGAATTGTGTGACAATGCAGATTTATAAACAAGACATGCTTCATTTCACAGATGTAAAGGGGTGATTTCTCATATTGTCTTTTTAAGTATAATGTTATAGTACAATGTAATATATAATATTAATATTGTGCTATGGTAATAATATAATGTGTTGTATTTACTTGTTACTTGTAAGCCGCTCTGAGTCCCCTTCGGGGTGAGATAAATCTCGTAAATAAATAAATAAGGACACATTTTTTTAGACAGAGAATATTTACAGAATGAGGAAGTTCTTAACTGTAGAGTATCCCACAGTGATGCATTCCACAATTGGTTTTGTCATCTTTGTTCTTAGAAGGCATTTGGGGAAATCATAGCTTGTAAGTTGAGAGAGAACCACTTTCTTGTTTCTGATTCCTCTTGCTCTGCCATTCTACTCCTTTGTTTCCTTTCCTTGTCTGATGCGTAAACTGTCTGGCATGCAGCATTTTGATAATATTACGGCAGTTCCTCTTATTTTGCAGAAAAAAATGCTTGTTACTGCTCTAAAATCTTTTCTGGTAATGACTTTCTCTTTTTCTCTCTTTCTAGTTCTGCTTTATGCTCTCCTGTTTCGAACTCCATTCAAGACTATCCTACAGGCCTTCACTTGGTTCTTATTGTGGCTATAAGGGAGCAAAAAGGTTAAATGAAGGTGACTTGCATTTTAGGCTTCAGCTCAGAAATAGTCTATTCTCTCTCTAATTCTTTGATACTATGTATGTTTTTATGCAGTTGCCTTAAGGTTATAATCTTATGTGGAGAAGTGATTTTTGACCGTAGGAGTGACCTTGTCATGTTTATAGGAAAGCTTAAATAGGATTTATAAGTTCAAGAGTGCTTGGAGAGTGTACATTTCCCTCCCCTCCAAATGCATCTATAATGCAAGCAAAGCATTTCATGCTAATTTGTTTGTCCGGCTGTATATTGTTGAATGGATGCTTTCATTAGGATGCCCACAAATTTGTTGGCAGATATGTTCCATATATGCAACTGATTTCATCTGTATTTTGGGGAAAAACTTTTAAATGATTGCCTCTTTTTTGTATATCTCTGTGAATACTCATTTGAATGTGTGACCATTTTTTTCCTAAAACATCTTGGGAGAATGTTTAGCATACCAACAGTAGGATTATTTTTTCTTCTGACGCGTGTGCAGATCCTCAATTCCTAGGATTTTTAGCATTTTATAAATTTTTCTCTTTGCAAAGTGTTTCTGAGAATCACATAGTAAAATAAAGGAATAAATGGCAATGCAGAAGCACTACTTCATGGTTAACCAGACAGCTTTGATTCTTTTCCTTTTGTGTTTATTTACAGTGCATTTGGCAATGATTTTCCTTTTGTTTTGTCAAATACAATTCAGATCAGTCTGCACCATCTGCCTGTTAATTTACTAAAATAGACAACTAATTTCACTTGAACTAAACAGATGATTTTATTGAAGTCAGTTTCCTAAAGTGGTATTACTTAGTAGTAATTTGAATTCCTACTTTTTTATTTACTTATCCAGCTGGTACAAGCTTCACTCCAAACCAGGAAAGAAGGAAAAAGAGCGGGGTGAGATTGAAGTGGATATCCAATTCATGAGGAGCAACATGACAGCCAGCATGTTTGATCTCTCCATGAAGGACAAGTCCCGGAATCCATTTGGCAAGCTGAAAGACAAACTGAAGGGGAAGCGTGGCAACGGACTACCAGACACAGCTTCAGCAATTATTCCTAGCATTAGTCACTCTCCAGCTGACAGTGAGGAAGAATCAAATGAGAAAGAGAAGAAAAAATCAAAGTTCAAGACACTATTCTCCAAGCCGGGCTTGCAGAAGAACAATCTCTCCCAGTCTATGTCTGTGCTCCCCAGTCTTCAGCCAGTGTCAGAAAAAGTTGTACTTAGACCCAGTGACTTCCAGTCCAAGTGGGATGATGATGATGATGACGACGACAAAACTTTGACCCCAGTTTCAGACAGTAAGTATTTTCTCTTGGTAAGAGGAAAATATTCCTTAAAATCTTCATGATTTTTAAATTATTTATTGAGATGTTGTATAGCAAAAGATATTTTTATTTTTTGTGTTGATATTTTCTCCTTATAAACTCCATATATATCGAGGCAATATGTCAGGAACTGTCATGAGTGTAATAATTGTCACTGGAAACAAACAAGTCTGTTTAACATAGCACAGATGTTAGCAGCCATATGAACTGTTGCTAATATCCATAAGTTGGTTTAGACAGAAATTTTCTGGGAGCATTGGGACCTGTGCTTTCATAATTCTGGTACTGATTTCATTCTAATTTCATTCTATCTTTTCAGAACCTTCTAGAACTGAAGCTAATATTTTTTATCCTCCATCTGAAACATCTCACAAGAGAACAGGGAGTGGAGATAATAAGCAATTAAACCAGACAGCTGGTAGCAACACCAAAAAGGATTCCCACTCTCTGTTTGGTGGCCTGAAATCCAAAACTGATCCAGCTTCCCGGTCCAATGTATGTATCAATGGCAGCCATGTTTACATGGAAACTAAAAGTGACACTCTCCCAAAAGACAGCACTCCATCTTCCCCTTCCTCTCAAGCGTTTCAGCGGAAACGTCTCTTTCTCTCTCATGAGAATTTGGCTTCTGAAGTCACTGAGGAACCTGAAGCTACTGGAAGATTGCCCCCTGAGAAGGTCCCACCTGGATCTTCCTCACTGGAATCATTTAAAGCCATGACTCTGCCGTCATACAAACTGCTCAGTGGTGGGGATTTGCTTGAAAGCCACACTCCCACTCCAGTTATCTCAGACACTCCAAAAGAAACCAAAGAGAACAAAAAAACGGAGAATAAGAAACCCGGCTTGCTGTCTCTGGTGACAGGAAAAAAGGAAACTAAAATCAACGAAGAGGGGGGCGAGAGTTCCGATAACTCTCTAAAGGCGAAGGGAGCAAAACATAATGAGAAGGAACTGCCAAAGAAAGAGACAAATCCTTTTGAAGTCCCTGTGGATCGCAAAAAAGGACATGGCCCAGAGAAGGGCAGTGGCACAGGTGCCCCAAATACAAAGGCATCTCTGAACCCTTTTAATGAAAGTGTTGTGGAAGAGGAGCAACCAGAGAAAAGTTCATTTGCTGTGAAACCATCTCAGACCAAGCAAGTCAAGCCCAGGTTAGTTTTGACACACAAGTTCAGATTTGATCAGAAATTACTATTTCTATGGTCTCCTATTTAGGGCCATGCTGTTAGCTGATGCAGGCCAGTGGTTCTCAATCTGTAGGTTCCCAGGTGTTTTGGCCTACCACTCCCAGAAATCCCAGTCAGTTTACCAGCTGTTAGGATTTCTGGGAGTTGAAGACCAAAACATCTGGAGACCCACAGGTTGAGAACCACTGTCATAGGCCAACACAACTTGGGGTGGGGAGAAGTTACCCACCACTACTTTAGTCTTTGTTGCCCATTCCCTTTCACTGTGTATGCGATCATTAGAAAATAATCATTTGTTTGAGAATGACCTATCGGTAACACTTCCCTAAGATGAGAGAGAAATGGTAACATTCTGGGTGCGGCATCCTGTAGTATGTGTGGCCTCTTTTTTAAAGGAGGGGAAGGGAGTGAGTCTCTCCTGCCCACAGAATGGAACCTTGTCTGATGAATTTGTTCCGCAGCTGGCCAAACCCATCCTTTTTTCTTTCCACCACAGGGAAAGTAATGGAAAGAAAAGCATGCAGCAGTCTATTGTTTCCCATCCTAGTTAAGTGTAGCTGAAAACAATCTTGCTCTTTTTGTGCTAAGGCAGTGGTTCTCAACCTGTGGGTCCCCAGATGTTTTGGCCTTCAACTCCCAGAAATCCTAACAGCTGGTAAACTGGCTGGGATTTCTGGGAGCTATTGGGACCCACAGGTTGAGAACCACTGTGCTAAGGAGAAAGGTAGGTATAGAAGACCAAGGAACCTACATTTATAGTAATTTGCTAGCCCCAAAAATTATGTTAGGAGTTGCTCTCTTTTTGGGGTTGTGGATCTGATCGAATCATGAATGTGCATTATAAGTTTGTCAATGTATAATGGACATTGCTTACGAATTGAGGTTCTTTAGTTCTTTCCAAGCTTAAGGACTTTTTCCTCCAGTTTGGGAAATACAAACTTTCACTAATGCTGTATAGTGACAAAGCAAGGGATATTAATAGCAGTAACCGCCTCTTTCTACCAGAGTTGGAGAACAATGTTCCAAGAGCAAAGGCAATAGTAATGTGTAGTAGGAATGCCCTAGGTCAGTGGTTCTCAACCTGTGGGTAGTCAGATGTTTTGGCCTTCAACTCCCAGAAATCCTAACAGTTGGTAAACTGGCTGGGATTTCTGAGAGTTGAAGGCCAAAACACCTGGGGACCCACAGGCTGAGAACCACTGGTGAATAAAGTTGGGACAGGTCATGATAATTATCTAGACAAGGGGTCCTCAAACTTTTAAAGCTGTGGAGCCATTTTTGAAGGAAAAGCTTTTGGTGGAGCCCCAAAAAACTTTTGGATACAGGAGCCGCATTGCATTTTAAAATTTGACAGATAGGCAGAGCCAGTGGCAGATGGATGGAGAATGTTTGCGTGAACTAACTGAAAAAAACAAACATAAATTCCTATGCACACTGCACATTTTGTTTGTAGTGCAAAAGAAAGAAAGGGAGGAAAGAAAGAAAAAGGGAAAGAAAGAGGAGGGAGGAAAGGAGTAAAAAAAAGGAAGCAAAGAAGGAAGGCAAAAGGGAAGGAAGGAAGAAAGGGAGGGAAGAAAGAAAGGGTGGAAGAAGAGGAGGGAGGGAAGGCAAGTAGGTACACTGAGGTTTCAGTCACAAACCACATTCACCTTTTGTCAGCCGTGCCACAGACAAGGAGGACCAAGGAGCTGTGGCTGGCTGGCCACACCACTCCCAATGCCTCCTCCTTCGCAACTACTCCGCCCTATGCACTTTAGAAACCTCGTAGGCTGTGCTGCCTAGGAAGCACGAAGCATTGCCAGCAGCGCACCCTGTGAGGCCTCCCTAGCACCACTGGTGTCTTAGAAACCTGGTAGGCCATGCTGCCAGCAGCTCTGATGAGTGCCTTTTGATTCTTCTCTGCGACCAGGCTCTCAGATGGTGGTGCCTTGGAGGTCTTGTAGGCTGCTTTGCCTAATAAAGACTCCATGGAGCACAGTTTGAAAACCACTGATCTAGCCTATCTCCCATTACTTGAAGAAGGGATCTTTTTGTCAGTTGATGTTTAAATAATTAAATTTCAACATACATATTTGTAATACTATAGTGACTTGCTTTATTCTTTATGTGCATAACTGATTGTTTATAAAAACGCCTAGGTGTTGTAACATAACTCATTTCCGTTCTTTATAGTCTTAACATTTGTCATGATTGAAATACAGGAATGATGGGTTTTTTGTTTCTATTTAATGCCTCAAATGACTAAGTTTTTGTATCCTTCTGCTGTATAAAATATTTTTTGCTATGGCTTGGGAAATACATTGTTTAAAAGCAGTAAACAGCAGAAGCAATTTATTTTTTATCTATAGCCTTTGTATCCTCAACGAGATGCATTTTGAGTTTGCCACTAATAAACAGTAAGGCTCCCTTGTCTGCAGATTCATTTTCCATGGTTTCATTGGAAATATAGGACTTTGGTTCTTCCCATGGTTTCAGGCATCCAAGAGTGAGAGAGGTTCTGATAACATATCTCCTGCAGATGTGAGGGTCTTTCTGCAATATGTTATTTTAACTGGGATTTAAAGTATGTGTTTAATTGGAAATAGACTTTCTATGACTGCTTTCCCTCTTAAGAATTAGCTTTAGTTAAAACGCATACACATAGGGATGTGTTTGGTTAGTTTATTATGGCATCCTTATGTGTACAGAGTACATTTCTAAAATGAACCAGGCATAATAAACTTGTCTCCAGAATGTTTCTGCCTGTCTCATGTTGCATCTGCAACTGACATGCAGGTTTCATTTTGTCCCTTTTACAGACTGGGCGTGTCTTCAGAGGATGAAACCAAAGCCACTTTCTCTCTCCCTGTCTCTCCTTCTGCTTCTTCTTCATTCTATCCTTCTTATAGATCTCATAGTGAGAACAACCCTTTTACCTTTAAAGAGGAAGCTGAGCAGAAAAGTCAGGCTTCTGAAAGATTTACTAGTTTAGCAAATCTTTCCATACAGCATCGCAGTAATCCTTTTTCTCCAACATGGGAAGAACAATCCAAACAACAAGACTCAGATTCATCTGCAGTGACATCTCTGCACCATATTTCTCCTGTTTCTGGGAAGGAAAACAACCCCTTTTCTCCTCATTGGGGACTAGAATCCCAGGCAGAGGGGCCTGAAAATGTTGCTAAACCCTCGTTGGATTTCCAACATCCTCCTGTAACTCCTGTTATTGAAACACAACCTTTTTCTTCTCAACCTTCTAATGTAAATGACACTTTGGTATCTGAAGAGGGAAAAGACTCTGAAATTTTAGAGAGTGCTTCTACTTCTTTTGCTTCTACCTCTCTAGCTCCAAAGCTTTCTGATTCCTTGATCATTCATGTTGTACCTTCAGAGAAGTTTCAGAATAAAGGTATGAGTAATCAAACAGAGCCTGGATATGTCTCTAACTCTGCAAGTTCTTATGATCAAGTTGAAATGATAGCAACGAATCGAACTGATGAGAATGTACACATAGTGCCTCCATTTGAAGAAAACAATGCAAGAATGAAGAAGTCAGTGACCTTTGTCCTCAGTGAGCCAAAAGATAATGATGTCGTGAGTAGTGGAGATGAAGATGTTTTGGGAGAAGATCAAGTTGAGATGTGGTCTGATGATGAAAATGTTACGCTAAAATCTGCTGAAAGGGACCGAAGACAAAAAGTTGAACTGGACGTAGAGCCTAGCTCTGCTTCCGTGTCCCGTGATGCTCCTAACAACAAGAATGCTCCCAAAGATGAAGCTAAATCTGATTCCTTACTTGATATTGAGCCACCAGTCCCAGTTCCAAGGGTCCGTGTGCCTTTGCCAAAGGAAGTAACTACATCTAGTAGCAGTTCTCCCCCTGCGCCTCCAAAGCCAGCACCAAGAAGTGCTCCAAAACAAATAAATGCATCGCCTCCTCAAACCAGTGTTTCAGGAGCAGGTGATGTGCCTGTTTTTAAAGAATTATCTTCAGATAATTCAGTCTCCAGTGGAAAGTTAGCCAATACTAGTTCTATAACAACTTCAGACTCAACTATATTTCCATTTACAGGAGATGTTAGCAATATAGATCATTCTGGAAGCATTAGTAATCAACCCAACCATGTAATAAGCACACAAACTTGTATTGCAGTTACCGGAGAGCTGAATTTAAAATCCTCTGCCCTTCCTGTTATTCCCGAAGTAGGATCAGATGATGAACAGCTGAATGATGATCACAAGAGCACTGAAAAAACGGGAGCTTGTGGAAACTTGCCAAGGAGTGGAAATGATTTCAGAGAGAAAGAGCCGGCATCAGTTCGAAAAGCTACTGATGAGAAGCAAACTCTGTCTGTTGTAGTGAAAGAGAATAGATCCGAGAGTTCTTTAAAGCCTGAAGACTTACCAGCCAGTCCTTCAGCAGTAATACAGAGTGCAAGGGGATTGGAGGAGAAGGATAGCAAAATAGTTAAGGAAAAGAGTCAAAATGATTGTCCTTTTTCTGATAAGGCTGTCCCTCTTTCTAATACTTCTTTCCATTCTGATGGTCTTGGCTGTAATAATGCAGAACCTCTGAAAACAGCTACGACAGAAGGCTTGGATGCCAAAGTGGAGGTCTCTGGCCAGAAGAAGCTGCTTCAGGCATGGGTTTCACCCTCTGAAACACATCCCATTCAAACGCCTCAGAGTGGTGGATCATATCCTCCTAAACTCAGGTGAGAAGAACTGGGGTGCTAACAAAGTGTCACGCGTAACTCTGATTACCTTCCACCCTATATCTTAAAATATAGTATGAGGTTGGGTGACACAAAATTTACCTTGCCTGTTAATTTGGAGCAACTTCCTAAAGAGATCCAGTGTGATTGGATTTTGAGTCCTTACTAAACCATGAAATTAGTAAGTGAGTAGCCTTGGGCAAGTCATACTTTTCAGCTTGATCATGCCTTGTATAACTTTCTCAGAATCACAGTGGATCAGTAAATTCAAAGAAAATTTTATTTTATAAAATAATCAGATTTAATTTTAACAGTGACAAATATCACAATCTACATAAATAAAAATGTAATGTTCGTTTGTGGGATTAACATAACTCAAAAACTACTGGACGAATTGACACCAAATTTGGACACAATACACCTATCAGGCCAACGAATGACCCTCACTCCTAAAAACACTGAAAAACACAACAGAAGAGACTTAAAAAGCCAAAAAACAAAACAAGAAAAACATTACAGCGCATGTGCAAAACCACATATCTATTTGTCACACATATATAAATAATAAATAATATGCAATTGACTGGAATGATGATACAGCAATTAATTCTGTTTTTTACTGTTTTAATTAATGTTTTACTTATTGTTTTAATTATTATTATATTGCTCTGTTATATGTAGTGACATCGAATTGCTGCCAAATGTAAGCTGTCCTGAGTCCCCTTCGGGGGTTGAGAAGGAACGGGATACAGATACTGGAAATAAATAAATATATACACATATACACAAATATATATACACACAAAACACATATACACAGACTGGGCCACAGCAACACGTTGTGCAGGGGACAGCTAGTAGTGTATAAAAAGGTTCTGAGTACTTTTCTTATTTTTTCAGTTTAATCATATTAAAATTTGATTTCATGGCTTTTCCATCACAGTAAGTAGCAACAGACAGATGCATATTTAACTTGTTCTCAGTAACAAAGCTTGAATGTAGTAGCATTCCTTGTGGTCCAAATTTGTTTTGAACCTCTGAAGACGCCAGCCACAGATGCAGGCGAAACGTCAGGAGAAAATGCTACTGGAACTTGGCCATACAGCCTGAAAAACCCACAGCAACCCTGTGGTTTTGGCCCTGAAAGTCTTTGAGAACACATTTTTGATTTGATCCGAATTATTACTTTAAACAGGCCCCCTTGGTGGTGCAGTGGATTAAACTACTTGCTGACCACAAGGTTGGTGATTTGAATCCGGGGAGCGGGTGAGCTCCTTCTCTTAATATCAGCTTCTGTCAACCTAGCAGATGGAAAATATGCAAATTTGAGTAGATCAATAAGTACTGCCTTGGTGAGAAGGTAATGGTGTTCCATGCAGTCATGCTGGCCACATGACTTTGGAGGTGTCTACTGACAACGCTGGCTCTTCAGCTTAGAAATGGAGATGAGCACCACCCCCCAGAATCGGACACGACTAGACTTAGTGTCAGGGGAAACGTTTACTATTATTGTAAGCACATAGTGGAGTAAATGCATGCATTTTCCAAATTTTGAATTTAACATTCACTTAAGAACTATAGCTGAATTCAAATTTAGTCTGTGTTATAAGGTGCCATAGGTCCTACACTGGGTAAACAACAGTCCCTGCTTTGAAAAAATACATATAAGATGGGAATATTATTTTAATAACTTGGCTCAAATAAACAAACAAAAAACAAAGCAAGTTTTCATTTGTGCACATGGCCTCAAGCAGAACCTCAAACCAAATTGTGCAAAAGTGTTCAGTCATTCTGCTTTAAGGTGTTGCGATGGTGTTGCTTAAATTAAATCGTCTCTCTTTCAGACTTCAGCCTGTAAAGCCAATGAATACTACACCGAGCAAACCTCCAGCAAAAACGTCAAACATAGCTACGAAGATTATGGATAACCGGAATGAAGCTAATCTAAAGGTATATGATATAATATTTTAAAATTGAATTTGGTATTCTAAGACTTTAGCTACCTTTCTGGTAATATAAGCAGATGAGAATGTCTCGTAAAACAGTGGCTTCCTAAAATTATTATATAAAACTATTCAGAAAAAATCTATTTGTTGTGTTAGATAAAAGGGGAGAGAGAGATTTATTTGGAGTCAGAAGTATGCCTTAGTTCAGTTTTCTTGCAGATCTTTCTGGTAAGAAAAGATCTATTATAAGTTATTTTTAACAGTAAGGTAAAATATACATACATAAGTGGAAGTTGTGATTAAGATTTTGTGATTAATGGTTTTATTGCTTTTTTTTCATGTCAGGAGCGACTTGAGGAACTGCAAGTCACTTCTGGTGTGAGAGAATTGGCCGTCTGCAAGGACATTGCCCAGGGGTCACCTGGATGTTTTATCATCCTGTGGGAGACTTCTCTCATGTTCTCACATGGGAAGCTGGAGCTGACAGGCGGGAGCTTACACCGCTCCCCAGATTCAAACCACAGTCCTGCTCGCACAAGGGTTTATCCCATTGCGACACTGGGAGCTCCTATTGCTAAACGATATATTGGATATTTGGGTATAGAACTTGAACAGTGTATTGACTAAAAACTGCTACAGTTGCTTAATATTTATATCTATCTGTAAACAAGCTGTTTTCCCCCCAGTGTTTGCCACTTGGCACAAAAGGTCAGAGATGGTCACACACTTACTGGCAGATTTATATCTATGGCATACTGTAAAGATGGCACCGGGATTTTGGTGCAGCTGGCTGGGAGTCAGCTGCATTAAGATCACTACTGACCGAAAGGTCATGAGTTCAAAGCCAGCCAGGGTTGGAGTGAGCTTCTGACCAAATTGTGTAGCTTGCTGTCGACCTTTGCAGCACGAAAAACAATGGCATCTATCAAGTAAGAAATTAAGTACCGCTTATGTGGGGAGGCAAATTTAACTAATTTACAAGGTCATAAAAATCTCCAGTAACCATTATTTATTTATTTATTTATTTATTTATTTAAAGCATTGATGTCCCGCCCTTCTCACCATTCAATGCCGGGACACAAATTCACATACAATACATAAACATTACAAAACATTTATCAAAATATTAAAATACACCATTTAAAACTGTCCTAGCCATCCGCATCAATAATAATAATAATAATAATAATAATAATAATAATAATAATAATAATATTTATTTATACTCTGCTACCATCTCTCCAAGGGACTCGGTGCGGCTTACATGAGGCAGAGCCCACAATACATCAGTACAAGCAATAACAACAACAGTAAAACAATTAAATAAAACTCAAAACAAATGCAATATAAAACTCAAATCCAGTTGGCCCTGTCATCTTTTCCACTGCCGTTTTATTGCTCTGTCCTGAAAGCTTGGTCCCATAGCCAAGTTTTTACCATCCTTCTAAAGGGCAGGAGGGAGGGGGCCGACTTGATCTCACCAGGAAGGGAGTTCCATAGCCGGGGAGCAATCACCAAGAAGGCCCTGTCTCTTGTCCCCACCAATTGTGCCTGTGACAATGGCAGGACGGAGAGCAGGGCCGTGATGGTTCATAGGGGGAGATGCGTTTGGACAGGTAATTTGGGCCAGGGCCGTTTAGGTCTTTATAGGCCAAAGCCAGCACTTTGAATTGTGCCCGGTAGCAAACTGGCAGCCAGTGAAGCTGGCATAACATGGGAGTTGTATGCTCCCTGTATGCCGCCCCAGTTATTAACCTGGCTGCCTCTCGCTGGACTATTTGAGCTTCCGAGCAGTCTTCAACGGCAACCCCACTTCCACAAAGCATGAGGAAGTACTTCATCAGTGTTACAAATGGTCGGTGAAAGAACAGCTCCCCTGGTGGCCAGAATACCCTCAAGAAAAAGCTGGAATATTAAATTGCCTCTGTGTCTATTTTGTTGTGTGTCTATATGGCATTGAATGTTTACCATGAATATGTACATTGTAATCCGCCCTGAGTCCCCTGCGGGGTGAGAAGAGCAGAATATAAATACTTCAAATAAATAAAGATGGCCTTGTCAGCTGTTTTCCCCCTGGCACAAAAGGTCAGAGATATGCACTTAGTGTTGTTTTCATGGCCCATGAACATACTTACTAGCAGATACTGAATTTACTGGTTTTGTTAATATGTAATAAGTTTCAGCAGTTGTTTAGGATTGTGTCTTCGGACAAACATAATTCCAGGGATTCCTCAATAAGCCCTGAAACCAAAACCCGTCCTTGGGATACCTCTGTGTCTCAAATGACTAACCTTTTCTCATTCTTCCTTCCTGAAGAAGTATGACTCTTCCGACCCTGCCTACGCTTATGCTCAGTTAACGCATGATGAGCTGATCCAGCTGGTTTTGAAGCAGAAGGATTTGATTACCAAGCGAGATCTCCAGGTGCGGGAATTGGAAAACTACATAGATGACTTGCTTGTCAAAGTCATGGAAGAAACGCCTAACATTCTTCGGGTTCAAGCGTTCACAAACAAGAAAGCTGGAAAGATCTGAAATGGCCGTACTTTTTTTGTTTGCTCCAGGGAGAATGTGCTCTTCAAATAATTATTGCTTGTACCAAAAATCGGGTTGTCTGTCTCTTAAGTTAATGACTAGCTTTATTTCGGAGACTGGTTAATATATTCTTGTAGTCCAAAGTGACCTTAATATCACACAAACAAAAACAGCCTCATACGTTTCAGTACACTGTTTATATATTTTGCTGCTCTATCAAGGTTAAAGGCCTTTGATTATAGTACTTTGGAAGGAGGTGCGAGCCAGTTTTCAGCTGTGAATTGGGACATTTTAATTGTGTTCTCTTTTAAAGTGTAGTTTTCAAACCCAAGCATTTGACTTGCGGTCCTGCCACACAGCCCAGAATATCAAGGCAGAAAATCCCACATTATCTGAGTGTGGAATCAAAGCAGATATTGTGGGAATTTTCTGCCTTGATATTCTGGGCTGTGTGGCTTCTTTTAAATGGTATTTTAAGTATTGGGTTATAATATAAGTGTTCATATTCTAATTAAGATGTTGGACAAACTGATATCATCACAAAGTGCCTTGTTCTGATGGGAGTTTTGAGAAAATAAAGAACCAGGGTGCCCTTAAAGCAACAGAAGTCATTCGACTTTTTGCTGCACTACTTCAGTGATTTGTTGAAAGCATAGCTGCGTTGTTAAGTTCTATGTTCCAGTTAGTTCAGTGGTTTCCCCTGCTCTTCACCAGCTGTACAGTCGGTCTGATATAGGGCTGTGTGCTTTGGCTGCCGCAAAGGGAAGAAGGAAATATTAGCCTTTGCACAAGGCTTAGGCTAACTTAGACTTGTATCTACTATTAGACCATGCATGGGCAAACTTGGGCCTTCCCTCCAGGTGTTTTGGACTTCTACAATTCCTAACAGCTTCAGGCCCCTTCTTTTTCCCCCTCAGCCGCTTAAGCGGCTGAGGGGGAAAAAGAAAGGGCCTGAAGCTGTTAGGAATTTTAGAAGTCCAAAACACCTGGAGCGAGGGCCCAAGTTTGCCCATGCCTGTATTGGACATAAGGTGTGTTCAGTATTTAGTAATCTGGCTATCGTTGTTTCAGATTCCTTGGCTGCTTTCTTTCCTAAACTACAATTCTCTGAGGAATGGAGTTCTGAGTATGTTATTTTCAATTTTTTTTGTATTCAGTTGAATTTTCTTGATTCAGGAGAGCTTCCATATGTGCCTTCGATCTGCATTTATTTCATCCAAGGCACAATTAATAAATTTAATCAGGGCTTGGAACATAATAGTATGTTGGTATCCTTGTATTTCTCTGTTGAGGGTTCCTAGCAGTTTCACTCCCCCAGTTAAACTGAGGACAATTCCTCATAGTTATGAAAAAGGAAAAGTTCAGTTCTGCTGTGGTTGCTATAAAATGTAACTGATCTACAGCTATATTATGCTTATAACTAATGCCATTATGCAAACTAAATATTAAACTGGAGAGTCATCATTTAAAAGATATATAAAACAGATTGGAGTTTGTATTGTTGAAAGGTTTCATGGCCAGAATCACTGGGTTGTTGTGAGTTTTCTGGGCTGTATAGCCATGTTTCAGAAGCATTCTCTCCTGATGTTTCACCCACATCTATGGCAGGCATCCTCAGAGGTTGTGAGGTCTGTTGGAAATGAGGCAAGTGAGGTTTATTTATCTGTGGAATGTCAATATATCTTCTTTTTTCCAATAGTTTTTTATTATAAGGTTACATTTTAATATAAGGTTACATGGAAAGTGGGGGAATATTTCAAAGAAGAGAGAAAAGTAGGAAAAAAGAGGCAGAGAAGGAAATTAGAACAATGTGAGAAAATGAAAAAATAAAGATAAAAAATAATAAATAATAAAAAGTGGACCAAAAAGGAAAAAGGGTCCGTCCCATGGCATCCTTGGGATTAAAAAAAGAAAAAAGGATAATTTTAAAAAGTAAAATAAAATGGACTTCCCTCTATTTCTTCGAAGATCTTTTATCTGTTTGTGTAGAAAAATACTTTAATAACAGCTTCCTTTTTTTTATCGTCTTTCATCCTTTTACTCAGATCATCTCTATTTTTTGTTGTTTAAAATAACTTCTTACCATGTCCCAGTTTGTTTGTTTCTTTAGAATTCCTTCGTTTGGCAATGGACAATAGGTTAGTTCATCCATGTTCATTATTTCCAGAATTTTAATATATCTTCTTGAGGCAAGTGTGAAACAGACAGGAGTTCTTTTCCCCACCCAGGACATTCCACAGATATATAAATTTCACTTGCCTAGTTTCCAACAGACCCCACAAGCTCTAAGGATGCCTGCCATAGATGCAGGTGAAACGTTAGGAGCGAATGCTTCTGAAACATGGCCATACAGCCTGGAAAACTTACAACAACCCAGATTGGAATTTCTTCCTGTCCTGGTTTATTATATATATATATATGTTACGATGTATTCCAAAGATGAGGATACAATCTCAGATAAAGGACAGCCTTTTACAATCTCATTGACTTCTTAAGCTGGTTTGATTATGTTTTCTAAAACAGTTCCAGAATGAACAAGTTTACCTAACATTTTGCTGGGTTGTACTCTTGAGTTTTTTTTAAAAAAAGTTTAAATTCAGTGAGATTTTACTATGAATCAAAGGAGGAAACTGGCATGTATTGGTTTTTGTTTCGACTTTGCCGTTTCTCTTTTTTTTAGGGCTAGGCATTCATAATCAAACGAAACTTTCCTTTGTGAAGTGTGTTAAGTGAATCCATTAGTTTCTACAATACCGATGTCTGAGGTTAAATTGAGTGTTGATTGAAGTGCAATAGAAGATAGAAAAATATAAAGAATCACAAGGCTTTTTGGCTGAGAGCAGTAGTGGCAATGAGAGAGCTTATATGTGCCCGTCTTGCCCATCGCAACTTCTCTTTCATTCCCAAGTAGCTTTACGCACAGAGAAGTAGTGTGAACTAGCACTATAATAGTCATTTGGATTCCATCCTGGAACAACTGGAACATCCTGAAGATGGACTAAAAGTGCTGAGAACATTATTAACGGTGCTTTGAAATGATGGTAGTGTGGCCCGTGCAGAATTGGCTCGAGTTACAAAGTGTCCTCCATCCTTCTTTGAATGCCCACCTTGACAGAGCTAAGCTATGTCCTCTTCACTTTCCATCCAGTTACATCTGCAAGCTGATTTATATTAGTTTTAATAAGTACTTGGAAACCTATATATACAATGGATTTTAAAAAAAAATACCTTGATTTCCAGGACGTAGCTGCTCCAGCAGCTATTTGAAAGGTTGTTAATTTTGGGGTGTTTAACCTATACTTTTTATTGTGGATATTATTCCTTCCATATGCACTTTACAGGAGGTGGGCGGTGGTTGGCACAGCTTGTGGTGGTTGGCACTGAATCACCTCAGACCTGCCATTGCAGTCATGACACTGGACTATTAAGCTTTTCGGTTCAATTCAAAGATCTTGATGTTTGCTGAATGGTGCACTGTTAATAGATCTTGGTACTGTAAATTCTGACTTGTGTTCCCCAAAGAATAGGTAACTTGAGCAGTTACAGTACATATTCTTCAAGAAGAGGTACTGTTCATATTTTTTGCGGCGATGCAATTATAGCCTAACTATATTAAGATTTTGGTGTCAAGTCATGACTTTGAACACACAACTCGGAGTGAACGGTTATACTGTATTCCCTTTTGTCCTGAATGGAACGTGGCTTGTCCCATCTCTTTTGCATAATAATACTTCTGAGGATATCCAGTTGTAACTAGGATTAGAACAGTGGTTCCAGATGTTTGCAAGGAGACAACCGGACATCTCTGGTGTTCAGGGTATGTGCAAATGCACACTTTGATGCAAAAGCAACGTTCTGATGCTTGGTCATTCTAGTCAAAATTTCACTCTAAATATTTTGAGTTCTTCTGGAGTCATGCCTGCTAACACTGTAAGAATATACTTTCTGAAAATTCATATGCCCAGTTGGAATAATTTCCTAGGAATGATTCTGTCACAACAAAGGGAGTTGCACACTTGAACTGCAGTTGTTTGGTGTTCCAATGACATTGGTTAACTTAATAATAGGGGATTCCATTGGAAAAACATCTTGGTGGATTGTGGAAATCATATGAGGTGATCACTTGCCCTAAAATCTCCAATGACCTGGTGGTTAGTGGACAACTTACACTGGGGCAACATGCAGAGCAAACCTCTGTTGGGCCACAATTCTAGTACACTCTGTTACACAAAAATCCCATCAATTGTATACTACTCAATAAGATATGAACAGTGTGATTTGTGCCCAATGGGAATTGGGCCTATAATTCGTACCCATATGCTATATATCCTTTCAAGCGAAAGGATACATAGCTTACTTTCCCTTGTGCAATCATTTGCTCAGTGCTTAATATTGAAGGATTTGAATGTGTGTTACATTTTCTGCCTCACTTCTTGGTACGTTTTCCATTGGTTTTTATACAAAGACCTTCAGCCTAACGAACTGTTGAAATAAAGTTATTTAAACCTGTTCACACACTTGTACTTATACGTTTTTATGAATGTAAACGTATGCGGCATTTATAGTGACACGTTATTTGAAGATTAATTCAGGTCATTTTCCTAATCTGTCTAGCGGGACAACTGAAACAATGATCTATGTAACAAAAAATTCTACGGGAAAATTCCCCCATGTATTAAATGATTCCTTAACCAGTGGCAGTAGGCATTGTTTAAGGTTCCAAGAATAGATGCAGGTGAAACGTCAGGAGAAATGCCTCTAGAACATGGCCCTATAGCCCGAAAAAACCCACAAGAACCTAGTTCCAAGAATAATCTGAGTGAAAATAACCTGAAAACAATCTTCATTTAATGCAGTGTTTCTCAACCTGCGGATCGGGACACATACGAGGGATCACCAAAGACCATCAGAAAGTATTTTCTGTTGGTCATGGGTGTTCTGTGTGGGAAGCTTGCCCAATTCTATCATTGGTGGGGTTCAGAATTTTCTTTGATTGCTGGTGAACTATAAATCCCAGCAACTACAACTCCCAAATGTCAAGGTCTATTTCCCCCAAACTCCACCAGTGTTCACCTTTGGGTATATTGGGTATTTGTGCCAAATTTAGTCCAGATCCATCATTGTTTGAGACCACAGTGCTCTCTGGATGTAGGTGAACTACAATTCCAAAACACAAGGTCAATGTCCACCAAACCCTTCCAATTACAATTCACAACAGTAGCAAAGATACAGTTGTGAAGTAGCAACGAAGATAATTTTATGGTTGGGGATCACCACAATATGAGGAACTGTATTAAGGGGTCGCGGCATTAGGAAGGTTGAGAACCACTACCATAGAGTCATGGCTCACAGTACTTTCAAAGATATTAGCTCTTCAAAGACTCCGTACTGGAGGCTGGAGAAAATATTCCCTGACATATTCCTGTCAAAAAGAAAGGATTAAATGTGAAGAGCCCCATTAAGTCAGAAAAAAAAGTCCATCTAAACCAGTGTTTCTCAACCTGGGGGTTGGGACCCGGGGGGGGGGTTGCGAGGGGGTCAATTCTATCCTTGGGGAGATTTAGAACCCTCTTTCATTGTAGGTGAACTATAAATCCCAGCAATGATAACTCCCAAATGTCAAGGTCTATTTCCCCCAAACTCCATCAGCGTTTACATTTGGGCATATTGAGTATTTGTGCTACCATTACAATATTTATTTATCACTAGCCGTCCCCTGCCACGCGTTGCTGTGGCCCACATGGGGGTTCTGTGTGGGAGGTTTGGCCCAATTCTATCATTGGTGGGTTCAGAATGCTCTTTGATTGTAGGTGAACTATAAATCCCAGCAACTACAACTCCCAAATGTCAAGGTCTATTTCCCCCAAAATCCATTTGTGTTCACATTTGGGCATAT